AAAAAAAAAAAAAAAAAAAAGTGGGAGGGTTTACATTTTTCATCAAATATACAGAGACAATCAGGTGCGTCTGTGAACGCCTACAGCATGTGGTTCCACTCACTGGCCAATTCTGCAGCTCCCTTTCATCTTCCTGAAGGGTCTCCCTGGGGCTTATGCAGGGGAAGGGCTCCAGGAGACCCTGACAGCACCTCCTGCTGTACCTGAAGTCTCACAGCCTTCGAGGAGGCATGAGAAGGTACCAGCACAAGCTTGCAAAGGGTTTGACATCATCCACCAATATGTCCCACGTCCCCTTGAACGCGTCGCTGACCCAGCTGAGATTCTGCAGATGCCGCCTCACCTGGCTCTAAGAGGATTGGGGCAGGTGGTGAGTTAGATTAGGTCAAGGCCAGGGAAACCTGCTAGGGAGAAGCGCAGGGACTAAGAGGGAGGGGGGAGCACGGGTCTGCACAGGGCAGAGAGGTAGGAGGTGAGTTCGAGGAGGGAAGAGATATGGGGGGAGGGTGTTGTGTATATGGCAAAATAATAAGATCACCCGTTTACTTAGATATTCCTGTAAGCGAGGCTCTGTGCTGGGCATGTAAATGGCATAACCCAATATTGCTCACACCCTGCACGTATGGAGAAGGTGTAGTTGTTACCCAAAGTCTCGTGGACATCCAGCTGCCCACGGGTCGTCCTCTGGACAGTCCAAGAAGCAGATGAGCTTGGTATCACTCGAAAGAGTGGAGGGGTTCAGGGCAGCGCTCTTCAGCTGGGAGGCCTGGTCCATGCTCAGACTGAATATTTGCAGTCTACTCAGAAAGGCACTTAAACACCCTGGTGGTTGGCATAACGCCCCGTAGGCAAAGGGATTACAGGCTGCCAGCCTCAAAGAACCTTTTGTAAGGGTATTAGAGCACATAGGACAGCTGCTGTCACATGGGAAGTGACACATGCTAGGGAGACCCTGCCTATTCTGGTTTTCAGGGCAAGAAACTCCCATGCCTCAGTTTCCCCTTTTCTTTGCACCTCATTCTCTCCTCTCCCTGCCCCCACCACCCATCTCTCCCTGTTTCAATCAATCTGCTTCCCTGGGGAGCCTCAGTGTGGTTTTCTATGTACATCCCTCTCAGGGTCTCTCTGGGAAGCGAAGGTTTTGCATTATATCCTGGCCGTCTGTCCCCACCTCCAAATGCAGCCTGTCACATGTTTCCCCCAAATCCGCACTAATGCTCCCTGTGTTTTGCTGAGGCCGGCCTGATCTAAGAGGATTGAAGCATTTGCTAAATGAGACCAGGACAGGGTCAGAGAACTAGCTGTGGGAAGACACAGGGGCCACAAAGTGATGGCAGAGGAAGCAGGAGGGGAGAGGACGGAGGGAAGGGGTGGCATGCAATTGGTGCAAGGACACAGAGACCAAGAGCCCAGTAGAGACTTTCTGTAGAGCCAGTCGTGGTGGCTCGCACCTGTAATTCCAGTGCTTTGGGAGGCCAAGGTGGGAGGATCACTTGAGCCCAGCAATTAGACCAGCCTGGGCAATACGGTGAGCCCTGGTTTCTGCAAAAAGTAAAAAGAAAAAAAAGTAAAAAGTAGCTGTGGTCCCAGCTACTCAGAAGGCAGAGTTGGGGGAGAATCACTGGAACCTCGGAGGTTGAGGTTGCAGTGAGCTGTGATTGTGCCACTGTACTCCAGCCTTGGCAACAGAGTGAGACCCTGTCAAAAAGAAAAAGGAAAATAAAAAAGCAAGCCAGGTGTGGCGGGTCATGCCTGTGGTCTCAGCACTCTGGGAGGCTAAGTCTAGCGAATCAATGAAGCCCAGAGTTCAAGACCAACATAGCCAACATGACAAAGCCCTGTCTCTCCCATTTTTGTTCTTTTTTTTTTTTTTTTTTTGAGACAGAGTCTTGTTCTGCCGCCAGCTGGAGTGTAGTGGCGCCATCTCAGCTCACTGCAAACTCCACTCCCAGGTTCAAGCAATTCTTCTGCCTCAGACTCCCAAATAGCTGGGACTACAGGTGCATGCCACCATGCCCCGCTAATTTTTGCATTTTTAGTAGAGACAGGGTTTCACCATGTTGGCCAGGATGGTCTCAAAATACAAAAAAATTTAGCTTAAATGTGGCTGTAAACAAAACAAAACAAAACAACAACAACAACAAAATTAACTGGGCATGGTGGTACATGCCTGTAATCCCAGCTACTCAGGAGGCTGAGGCATGAGAATTACTTGAACCTGGGAGGCAGAGGCTGCAGTTGGCTGAGATGATGCCATTGCACTCCAGCCTGGGTGACTGAGTAAGACTATCTAAAAAACAACAACAAAAATCAAACAAACAGAAAGAATTTGTAGATACAGACTCATACATTAATGGACACTTGGTTTGTGACAAAATACAAAATAAATTACAAGGTTCTCCAATTGACAATTGGAAATCCATGAGAAAAGAATAATCCTTACCTCACACCATACACCATCAATTCTAGATGTATGAAAGACCTAAATATGAAAGGTAAAACTATATACATTTAGATAACAAAACAGAATACCTTCATCATCATGTGATAATGAAAGATTTCTTATTTTCCTGTTGGGTACTTGATATTGGAGAAAGATATTTTAAGCAAGCCAAAAAAAAAAGCATTACTCTTAGAAGGGAAAAGTGAGAAAATGGAGAAATCTTCAAAGCAGTAAGCCAAACACTTCAGACTGGTGCCACCTGTGGGCTTTGTCTCTAATTGGTAACAATTAGGAACAGAGGCCTTTTAGAAATACCAACTTTAAAAGCTTTTCTGTCAATTTGAAAATAGATATATATTGAGATATCTTGTAAAAGTAATTTATTTTATCATTTTATATTTTTTAGACAAGATCTCATTTTGTAGTACAGGCTGGAGTATGGTGGCAGCATCTCAGCTCACTGCAACATCAGGTTTAAGTCATTCTTCTGCCTTAGCCTCCCAAGTAGCTGGGATTCCAGGTGCCTGACAGCATGCCTGGGTAAATTTTATATATATTATACATATTTTTTGAGATGTAGTCTCGCTCTATTGCCAGGTTGGAGTGCAGTGGTGCAGTCTCGGCTTATTGCAACCTCTGACTCCTGGGTTCAAGCAATTCTCCTGCCTCAATCTCCCAAGTAGCTGGGACTATAGGTGTGTGCCACCATGCCCGGCTAGTTTTTTATCTTTATTTTTAGTAGAGATAGTTTTCACCATGTTAGCTAGGATGGTCTGGATCTCCTGACCTTGTGATCTGCCTGCTTCAGTCTCCCAAAGTGCTGGGATTACAGGCATGAGCCACTGTGCCCAGCCTAATTTTTGTATTTCACCATGTTGGCCAGGCTGGTCTCGAACTCCTTACTTCAAATGATCCACCTGGCTTGGCCTTCCCCCAGCTTGGCCTCCCAAAGTGTTGGGATTACAGGCATGAGCCACCACGCCTGGCCCATTTTAATTTTTATTAATAACTTCACTGTGTTTTACATGATCAATCTGCTGCTGATAGAAATGAAAAATAAAAAGGCAAAACTGGTCCATAACAACAGGTAATTTGAAAAGCGGTGAAATAGATAATATTAAAATCAAGAAATGCTACTAATGAAACGAAATACAAATAGGAAAGGCGTCTACAGCACTTTAATAAGCTCTCAAGCAGCATTCACTAATGCCAAATATCCCAGTGGCTCCAGTCCCCCAGAAACACGCTCAGGCCCAATTCAAATGAGAGGCAGGCACCTTTGCAGCAGAGCCACCTATGATGGCCACACAGTGAAGACAGCAAATGTCCACCTGCAGCCAGGTGGGTAAAGGGTGGTGCATTCGCTGCAGAAAGTCACCTGCAGTGTAGATCAGCCACTCCAGGTCCACTGGGATCTGCAGGACTTTGCAGACACAGGCCCCCTATTACATCCAGTAATCACCTGGGGCCTGAGTAGTTTTCATTCAGAGCCATCCTCTTGATGCTGAGACCCTGAGTCTTTGTTCGTAGAGTCATCCCCTTCTTGGTACTGAGACGTCATGGTGGAGACTGAGGATCCCTCCAAGGGGTCTAGAGGTGTGAGCAGCTCCGTGAAGTCAGGCAATAATGGAGTGTCTGGCGAGAAGTTGGAGGTCTAGGGGCTCTGAGGCCACACAGGGCCTGGGGCTGGGAATGATCCTGGGCCTGGGATTGGGTCTGGGAGTGATCCTGGGCCTGGGATTGGGTCTAGGAGTGATCCTGGGCCTGGGATTGGGGTCGAGA